CAGTTAACTCCGTTGCGCCAAGAGATTTATGGGAGCAAAAGGGTTTTAACACGTACATGCCAACATTTGAGGAGATCCCAAAAACATGCTTCAAGTGGCTGACATCAGTCTCTGGGAAACACATATGTCACCAGGCTTCCACGTGATCTTGTCAGAGACATGTTTGCTTCATTCTGAATGCTATATTACTTCTTTTCCCAGAATATGACAATGTATCCAAGTGATTGCATCAAAAATGCAAAATTCCTGAAATTGTTGTGATTTCACCTGTTGTTTTTTGTCTTTTGGACAAATATTTTATATATATGAATATTTGAAATTTAGGCTCCAGCCCCCCCGTAACCCTTGTGAGGATTAAGCGGTGTATAGATAATGGATGGATGGATGGATGGATGGATGGATATTTGAAATTACAACATTAATTCCAAGTTCCCTTACTCCCCTTTTCAGGAATTTTAATCTTTAAGACACATTCTTCATCATTTAATTGGGCTTTCTCTGTGCAGAACTTCCCGTTTGGAGTCAGCAGTTTCAGGACATCTGGTCCGTGTGACATTATATGATGCAACCATCAGATCCAGAACCAGCAAGTAAGTGAACCTTGAAGGGAGACTGTATGCTGTTTCCAGGGTTTGTTGTTCAACTTTAAACATGGGCAAAAGTCCTAGAAGTTCTCAGAGAAACTGGAAGTTGCAATCGGCAGCATCATGACAACTAATCAATCCATCTGCTGCTGACAGAATGAGCAGAGGCATAAGAGAGTTAATTTGAGGTTTATGTTGTTTTGTCAGGGTAATTTCTTATTTTAAGTGGACTCTAATTAATGTTATGATGTTCCAGCCTTCATAAAGTAACTTAAAACTTGTATTTTGTGTTTGACCAACGGCGCATTCCAATTGTTGTCCTGTCCGTTTGTGATTCAAAGCACCTGCAAGAGCAAGTGTGGTTCTTAATGATCTATCTCAGCCTACAGTTACCTAATCCTCGCTCCTGACAATGACAGATCTTTATTTGGCAATAGGCAACCTCTGCTGACTGTCTTATTTATTCTCTCCTCCCCAAATGAGCATGAGGTAGTAAAAAACCTATGCAGACACTTTTTTTCCCTTTTAAGCCCATTTATAGTCAATTCCATCTAAACTGTTGCATGCATGAATTATGAGGTGAATTTTGATTTTGTCCGTAACCAAATTTACAGTGGTGTTTTAACAGACTGAGCTCTAGTGCAAGCTTTTTCTGCCCTAATAGCAGCTCCACTTTGATGTCCTCAAGCTGCAGTGCTGCTATGCCAGTGGAGGATTTCAGGGAGGTTTGAAGGCAGATCGAGGCTTGGCCAGGGCACAGGGTGCATTTCCGATGGTTGAGCTGCAAGGGGAGCAAAATAAACATAGTTGTTGTGCTTCCAAGGGGGGGACTGAAGAACAAGAAAAAAAAAAATACAATGAATTAGAAAAGAAGTCTCTCTCCCAATATCCCCCTTGAGGCACAAAGAAGCCAAGTTTTCAACTGTTCTGTGAAGTCAGGGAGGGCATAGAGGTTGTGGAGTGCACAGGCGATAAAGGAGAGTCTTTCTGCAGCTGCGCAACAAACATAAAAATAAAAAAAACACTCTAAGCCACTACAGTTCCATGTGTAGTTCCATACACACAAAAGATTTATCCTTGTTTTTCATTATTATATTACATTTGGAATCGGACACCCTCTACCTCACTCGGTCCCTGCTAATAATCTATCAACCTGCCATAATCCCGATGAACTCTCCTTCTTCCTTGCGAATAAATGTTTCACCACCTTCACACTTGAAAGAGACTAAACCGTTTTAGCAGTAACAGTTTATCTGACAGGTCAGTAATTCACATGTGTTACTAGGAAAAGTGGCACACCTTCAGATGAGCTTACAGATGCGTCATCGTGGCCTCAGTAGATGTTGGCACTGGCTGATAGCATGAGCCAGTTGAAGTGGATTTATTGCTGCAGCAGCTGGAGACTGAAAATCTGTTTTGTCTCTCCATCTTTCTGATTGTGTTTAACTCTGTCTGCTTGGTCTTCAAGTCTCAGGATTTTATTCTCTCTCTTAGCTCCCATATGGTGGATGATGAATTTGTGCTGAATTAAGACAAACACAAAAATTCTTGTGTACTTGACAGTGTGATTTATGCAATTACACATACAAATGTAAGTTTTAATCTACATTCCAATGTAAAAGAGGTTGAAATAGCAGTGAAAATGGAGTTGATGAATGAGGCGTAAGTGTCAGTGTTAGTGCACGGTGAAGCTTTAATGAGAGCGCTAAAAGGGGTTGAAGATTCAGCTGAAATTGAAGCAATGAAAGAAGTTGAAATGTCAGAGAAAGTGATACATTTTGCAGGAAATGTCCCTTGAAGTGGAAGTCCCGACAGAAGCTGACACATATAACTAAAAACGCTAGTTGAAGGGTTGACTTATGTGCACTGAAGGGCTGCAAACTGTTGTAGTAAACTGTGATTTAGCAGTGGGAGTGGTGTGAAAAAGAACAGAAGAGGGAGATCCTTTTTGTTGTTCCTCTTAATGCTGAATCCTGAGACAGTTTAAAGTTTTGTAAAAAGACTTTCAAATGTTAGATGAAGACATGGAAAATGTCAAAATATTGCTTAATATGTAAGTTGTAGGGGCACCGGAATCTTTCTGTGTGGAGTTTGCA